GAAGGGGGGGGGGGGGGCATTGATGATATGTACATGCATTTCAAATGTATAAAATTTGTATTTAAAAATATATTTTGTGAACTATCTTACATGTAATAATTGTTTTTATGGTTCATTATGCATTGATTCTTTTCAACTGTGTAAATGGGGAAAATGTGGACATGTGAATAATGTATTATTGTATGTGTAAAATGTGACATTTTCTGTTACGAGAGAGTCTGTACATGTAAAAATGTTATATTCTTTATTACTTAGCTCATTAAAATTTTTTGAATTAAAAATCTTGTTTTTCTTACCTGTGTGATGAACACAACAAAGGTTACAGAGGTAATTGGTAGATATCCAGGTATACGGGTGTCAAAACTGCCCGTACCAAACATTCTAACAAATGCTCATGAGCAGCTCATGAGACTCACATGAGAATCAAGTAAGAATTGTATGCAAATTAGGTAGAATTGGATTTTGCTCATGTGCAGATTGTTAGTCTTTGTTAGGGAGGAAAAAACTAACCAAAATGCACATGTGCAAAATTATGCTCACCTCAATGCTCATGAGCAAAAGTCTATTCAATTTGCTCACCTAAGAACAGCCTAATTAAAGATATAGCATATTGGTAGTGATTTTTCTAAGTTCAGTTTTCTCACGTGAGCAAGAGGTGAGGAAATTGGACATAGTCAAAATTCAGTATTACAAGTAGAACCAAAACTAAAGATTTACAAGTCTCAATTCCTCACCTGAGACTCACGTGAGGAAATACAATACTCTGATACTCTATGTGGTCTAAGCTTTCCCAAGCCTTTATTACAAATTGACCATGTGTTAAGTGTTAACACTTCCTGATGATAGTATCACAAATGATTGGGGACCAGGCAGGAATATCTTAATTTCTTGAGCTTCTAATCTTCATCTCCCATCAATTTGAAAATGCTTTCCTCTGCTTAAACAACCTGTTGTGTCCCCCACTGTTACTTAAGGTGGGGCAGTATCCAATGAGGAGAGCCAGTTAGGATTTGTGCGCCTTCTAAGACCAGTTCAAAAATTCAATACAAAATGTTTGTGAAGGACATTGAAAGTATATGGATTAATACAGTGAAGAACTGAAATATGCTTTTGGAAATACATGTCATCACCATATTGAACTAGATGCCAAACTTTAAAATTAAGTTACAAATGTATTCAGTATGTCCATGGGATGAGGAAATGATTAAAGATCAATTAGATATTACCATGGTGCAGCCACAATGAAGGAAAATTTCAAAGATATGCTGATCTGAGAATAGGGTAAGTGCTTTGAAATTTATTATCCCCCCTCTCATTTCAGATATTACTAATTAAAAAGAAAATGTTAATTATCAGTGTATTTAAGTTTGATATATTTGATGCAGAATGTTATCAGGAATTACAGTTTAATTAAGAACTATAAATATGGTAAGAGCAGATTAGGTCAGAGTGTACAATTGACAGCCTCAGTACAGTATTCTATGAATTGCAAGTATTTAAGTTGCTAATTAAATATTGATGCATATGATTTTTCTATTGACTGGCTTTTCATGACCAACGGAACCTTAAAAATATTCTAACTTAATTATTATAACTTCAAATTTTTTGCAGATAAAAGTTGGAATCAGAGGATCTGCAGATTAATAACGGACTCTAGCTGAGCTTGCATGTACAGTAGTTGGCACTCATTTAAAGGAAATGCAAGGAAAAAGAACAGAACAGGATGAATTGATTATGATTCTTATGACCACTGGATTATTATTTTGAACCCAAGTATAACTGCCACTCATAAATTCAGCAAAGGCAGAAACATCTACTTTTAGCCTCCAAGACAACTTAAAACCATCTAGTACTTAGTGCAGTCAAAAATGTTGACTGGACATTTACATTGGATGTTCTATGTTAATCTACTGGAAATGGAACTATTGGATAATAATACCTTGATTGATGTGTAACTTTACATAATATAATAATTTAATTAAAATTTTTATTTCATTTTAAGTTTAAAAGATGAAGTTCTCTGATCATAATTATGAGTGCATCTATTTACATGTACATGTTGCTCAAGAGTATTTAAAATGTAATTGATGAATCACATTTTAGAATTACATAATTATATAATGTTTGTAATCTGAATTTTGTTCTATTGTTGCTTGTTCCAAGTGAGCAATTGTTGCACATGAGTCTCATGAGCCTCATGAGACTCATGTGAGCAATATTCTAGGTGAGCAAAATGATTCCTCACGTGAGCAAAAAATGCTAATGTGCAGAACCCTGCTCACGTGAGCATTTCACCTAATTTGCATGTTAAATTGCACATGAGACTCACGTGAGCAACTCAGGTGAGGAAATCTGGTTAGTCCTCACGTGAGCTGCTCATGAGCAAATTGTGAGAATGGTTTGGTATGGGGGTCCGTTCAGGTGACCAGACTGCATGCCGCATTGTTTATCCGCCATTATTGATCTTTTCAAGGGGAGACAACTCCTGAAATCAGAGAAATTTTAGTGAAAATGAGAGTTACTTGTCCCTCTTTAGGTCTCACACAAGGAAATAATTTCACTATATATTACTATATAACTTGAATTAAATTATTTAAAGAGCGGGTCCTGGCACTTTTTTACTATATTGACACTTCAGAAGCTTTTATCTGGATATGGTCTCATCATTAGACATACATCTTATAAATAATTAAAATAAAAGACTTTGATCTGTTGAATACACGCTAGTTTTCATAATATATATATTTCTGAACAATAGAAACACATATTTATTATTGTCAAGCGTACCTTAGAATTCTCCTTTCTACGGAGATTGCCGAGCGAACGCGAGATTTTATGAGAGTACACGAGACTTTAACAGTGTGACGTCACATCAAGAACACAACATGTCTGCGGACGATTCATTCAATAGCGACAGCGACGATTCTTTACCAGAGCACAAAGGCGCTTTGTGCACGTGTATTTTGAGTATTGTGTATGGTTTTTGTGATTGGGCGTGTCTCGATTACTTCTTAAATGAAGATCAAAAATCGCTGAAATTAGCAATCTTTAAAAATATCATAATACTTATATGATACTTATTTGAACAGTGCTAATTTCTGCAATTTTTTTTTAAATTTTAAAGACAGTATTTCGTCACACCTTGAACAGAAGCCACCCCCTGAAACCAAGCACCTACAGTATGAGTATGACAAGAATCAAATAGCAAACAATCAAATAGTAAAAGGGATTAATGCATCAATCACCATACTAATTGATTTCATTTATATCATTTTGCATAGAAAGATGCAAATCAAGGTACTTGTACAAAATTTGACTGACAAAAGTACGTTTATTCAAGTGTATAGACTTTCAGTCTTTGACCAAAAGAAATATGAAATGTCAAAATGCAAGGCTCGGGCAGATTTTAAAAATGGAAGGGTGGATGTGGAATGTTGTTGTTTGACACCGAGTGTCTCATGGTGACTTCACAGGATGGTCCAACAGTCAGGAATAAATAATTACTTTTGTAATCAAAATGCTCCATTATCATCAGACTGCACTTCAAACATTCCTTTCTAACAAGTAGTACCCGGTAAACATTCAACAATTTTTAAAAAACTATTTCATCCCTAAAATAAAAAAGTCAAGACCCCTTTCCAAATATGGCAATGAATAATAAATATATATGCATTTTAGGTGTACATGTGGTACATGTCAACCTATTGAATGTCCAGACAATAGGTTTTGTTGTCAAGAATGTGACAATTAAAACAAAAGCTAAAATAAATGAAGGAAAGGAACAGACAGACAAGGATTTTATTTGCATAACATCACATCCTGGATTTCGAAGTGTTTGTTTGGATCCATGGGTTTTAGAAACAGAGTATTATGCCTACCAACAGGAATGGGGGAGGGCACAGAAACCCCAGCATCAGTGAGTGTATTAATAAATAAAACCATACAGTGAATTAAAAATTAAAAAATAATCAACCATGGTTAAATTTCAAACATACTTTATATATATGAAGCACAATCTTTACAAAATGTGTAATATTTTAGGAAGTTTAGATATGTGGCTTATCGTCAATTAGTAAGATGGTGTTGGGGTTTCCTGGGAAAGAACAACCGTACTCCTCTACCAGCCTGTGTAATGTCAAGTATTAGAAATGCATTTCCTGCAAATGACGGACAATACAAAAACTTTGAGTGGCCAAATAACTAGAAACCTAGGTAAGGTCATTCAAAAATGTCAAAAAAAAAAAAAAAAAAAAAAAAAAAACAACATTGAATGTAGCATTTTTTAACAAACAGTTCTTACAACTTGTCAGACCTTAAAGGCAATAAAATAAGTACATACTGGTTTTGGTAATCAACAACATGTTTATGCATTCTGCACAAAGGTTTCTAAGGAGTTAATTGTGTGAAAATACAAGTAACTAGGAACAATTTTATGTGGTTGTAACAATCAAGTTAGATAAGTGCAAAGCACTTTATGACACAAATAGATATATCGAGTGTCATCATCTGTTATATCTGGACATGAACATCTCCACAGCCTCTGCCTTGTCGGGTTGATCTGCATCTGCATTTGCGGATAAAAAATTGGGTACCCTTGCACGTAGATTATCAATGGAATCTCGTAACTGGCTTGGCCCTTGGATGTATCCATCAACCAACTCTTGTTGGAGGTGCATGGCATACTCTAAAATACAAAGTTTTTCAACTTAATGTTTCCCTCGACGTCATGTGACGTGACAATCTGAACTTTCCTCATGGCTCGTACAGTTTTGCTTTCCATATGCAAGAAAATCGGATCATGTGACCATCTGCATGTCATTGAAAATTGAATTTCAATTTCATTATCATTGTTATATAAGGGAAGACATCAGTAAATGTAAATATTTCAGAATATTAGAAAGTGCCAGTTAGTTTTAAAACAGTAATGTTCATCATACGGCCACTTCAATGTTAGAATGTATGTATGTAGCATTTTACTCACCGACATAACATTCCAAGATAAGAAAAGGCTGTATTCTTGGGAGCAAAATGGAGTATTAAGCTATGAAAAGCCTCCAATGAAGATGTCTGCTCCTGACTGGAAAGTCTTGAAATATCTTTTAAGAGGGTCTTGTTTAAAAGAATCTTTTCCAGTTGCTCAAAAGCCTTGCTTGCTAAAAATCCAAAATAAATAAAATATATAAATATACATATCACATTTGTAATTTATCCTGGAAGATTGAAAATTTTTACAGAATAATTAAAATATTCTTAAAAAATAGTGTGTTATATTTGAATAGGCATAAAAAAAATCATACTTGGATTAAGCCACTCTATTTCCCGCTCGTCATCTACTTACAGGGGATCATGAAGACAACTTTGGAAAAGAGTATTTGGGTGGTTGGTGTGGATGTTTTGCACATGCTGGATAACCGACTCCCACTTGGCAACAATCATTTCCCCATTGTTATCTGGTGTAGAACCTGCAGACCAATACATATGATTGGTGATGGACTGCTTCCATTCACCAACAATATCGCAATCCTTGACCTTTGCCAAAGCATCCAGTTTCTTTCCTGTGCCTACAAAGTTAATTTATGTATATGTTTAACTCATACTTGTATGTAAATATTTCATACCACTTGAATTTCTAATATAATTTAAATATATCCATACTATTCACTTAAATTTTCTTCATTCATAAGTACATACCTTTTGCAACATGCCAGATGTCATAGAAGTGGTTTGTTCCATCAAGGTTTTCCTTTATCCACTTGTTATTCTGTCTGTGTCTGTCTGTAATAAGGGTGTCTAACTGCAACCCCTCATCCTTCAGGAATCTAACACTTCTTTTTAATCCTTCATGCTCACACCATGAACTATTTGGAACTTCATTACTCTGTAGAAAAAATAGAACAGAAATCAAACATGTATTCATGTACACTTTCAACTAAATGGTCTGTCTAAATGTATCATGAATTAATGAATAATGGAGAAAACATAACTAAGGATTTACATTTAAAAAAATAAACACAATTTACTTAAAATAGCAAGAACTATTCTATAGTCCTTCCAATTCACTCAAGAGATAAAGTATGCATAACTTAGATAAACACACTTGGCTGAGATATACATGTGATGATCATACCTGTTTAAGATTTACATGTAGTTGTTCCAGAAAATAAAGGTGAACAAAATCAACTCTAAAAAAAAAAACAAAGGTTTTAGTTTCATGCCAAAACTCTTCAACACAAGCAGTATGCACCAATTTTGTTCGGCACAAGCCCATTCAGGCTAATGATGGCAAAACTTTACTAGTCAGAATGAATAACCTTTTAACCCCTAACCAAATTGAATATATAAGGAATGAAATGACAGTTTTAATTCACTTAATATATTTTTTAAATTTTTTCATATTTAATAACTGAATCTATGCTGAAGTTATTTTATCTAACATATCATATTTGAGAGTGAGTTATGGCCATAAATTATTCCACTTAATTAAGGACATTTGTACATTTTTACAAATTTTGGACATTCAAATGCTGTCCATTTTAGAAACCTTTCCTAGAATTAAATAAACACTGCTTTCAATAGAAATGAAAATTACCTGGAAAGATTTAACCTTTAGATTGACAGGTAAATGTTTGTGCCACCAAAAATCCTCAAACAAGAACTCGAACCATAAACAAGAAATTCAAACAGATTAAATTCAGTGTTTAAGCTACATAAATTTAATTCTCTGGTTCTCAGGCCAATGTGGGAGAAAGTATTTTATTTTAAATCATTTTCATGGTGATGAGTATCCAATTTTCTATAAAATAATAATAAAAATTCTTTGATCATTGATATACTTTCCATACTGATCATGTCTGAACATTATGTTTGCATTTTTCATTGATTATCAAAGTTTGAACATCATAAGCATTATCTTCTAATATATTTTTAAATGAGGTACCCAAGACTCTTTGCGTATGGTAACAGGAAATGATATTCAAATGAGGGCAGAACTCTTTTTCCAGACGGGTTTCTGCATAACTTTGCATTTTAATCAATATAAAATTTGGAATGTGGCTAATTCAAAAGGGATGGTGTAGGCCTGAAAACCGAAATTTTAAATTTACTTGGCCTAATAATAAAATATTATCACCTTAACTTAAAAAAAAGAAAAAAAAAAGAAATCAATATAAGGCCATATAAAATTGAAATCTTGGTTCTCAGGCCCGCGCGCATCCGTTTTGAGGTAGCCGCATTGCCGATTTTATTGTATTTTTGATAAAATAAAAAGTGGGTGTTGCGGAGATCAATCCGGGAAAAAAAATTCCGACCTCATTTGTCTCGTAGTTAAGTATTCAAATATCACTTCCGGTAGCCCTTTACAATGAGATTTTGGCTACTTCGTTTGAAAATACATTCGAGGACATTACCTACGATGTTTACACGCTGTTAAGTAATGGATAAAGCAGAAATTTTGACCAGAAATGGAAAGTATATCTGTGATTAAAAAAATTATCTTTATGTTAAAGAAAATTCGGAAATTAAAATTTAAAAAAATACCTCCCTCATCTACTTTATTGCCAATAAAATGAAAAATAAAATGCCGCCCTCCCGCATCTGTTTTGGAGAAAATTGGCCTGAGAACCAGGGAATTAAATTTAGATAGCCTAATCATAAAATATATAAAAGTACCTGCACTTGTTGAATGTCTAGAACTTTATTGATCTTGGTTTCAATGAAAGTAAATGCACCATATTTTGCACAATGACCAGGGCTGTCTGAGCGTCCATCACCAGCAAGCACCAACCCTCTGTTCTGTGACTTTAAGTCGACAATAATAGCACTCTGTGCCTGCTTCCAATGTAGCACAACAGTTGGCAAAACATACTGTTGTTGATGCCTACAGATAAAGGTCATACAGTCAAACTTGTCTTAGCGGCCACCCAAAATCAACGGCCACTTGCGGTCAGCGGCCACTTTCAGTTCCCCCCGAACATTTTTCCTATATATTTTAACTGGAATAAACGGCCACCTGTGTAACGCGGCCAGCGGCCACTCAAATCCTCCCCCAACAGCCTTATTGACACTGTAATAGGCGGCCATTTCGTCACTTGTTGCGATCCTATCACATCTTTTAAACGCATTGGCTTGAGTAATTATATCCTCGCTAGTCAATTTAACCTATTAATGCAATTAAACAAATTGCTTTTAGTTACGCTGAACTCTGTTTGTGTTTATGAAAATAAAATATTTGTCCTGTTAGGCTGTTTAAAATTAAAACTACGTTTAACGTCACCCGCGCGCGTAGGTTTATGAGAATTTCGTCTTTGAAAAAAACAAACAATTCGGAATTCCGTATGTCTGTTCCGGTTTGGTTCTACAATTAGCGACTGAATTCTGCTTCCCGTAGTGACAGAAAATGTGCTTTGACAGCAGCAGTAAAGGCAGTTGGTGTCTTATTAAAGAAAAATAGTGAATTAAAGAGTTTGGGACCATAAATGTAAGTAAAAAATAGATGATTTTATGATTGAAGTTAATGACAAAGTCTAGTTTGTTGATTTTTTTGTCAGTCTTCGAATCACATGTTCAGACTGACAGCTCTGTTCGTGATTCTATTGGCTGAACTTTTCATTGTATTTTGAAGAGAATCGAAAAACTTTTTAACTGAGTGGAAAGTGTGTCAAAAACCAAGATTTATATATAGTGAAAAGCAACATTCAAATCTTATCTAATATGTTTCATATTAAAAATATTTCTGTAAAAATCGAAAGAAACAGTAATGAGTAAAGTAATTGATTTCTTCGTAATTCATGTACCTACAAATAGCTACAATTTTTGGAAAAGATAATACTTGTCGTAACGATTTGAGCAGGGAGAAGCTTGCCGAAGATAGGGCCTTTCAAGTGAAAGAGAGTAAGGGAAGTGGTTTGGGTATTCCAAGACGTGAAGAATTCAGTCTTTAGTGTGGAATTCAAGGTATTAAAGATAATCTAACAGCTATCAGTATGGTCCAAATATGAGTATTCACACTTTCAAAACTTAATGTTAGTAGATCTAGTACTAAGAAAAAATATGACATAATTCAATTTGAGGATATTTCAAAATAAACAGTTTTAAATATTGTCATCAATAATTATAATTGTAGATATTGATCAACTATTCCCACAAGAAGAAGCATTTGCCTCCAAAGTACCACGGACGTGTGGCAATATAAATCCAAAGGACAACTGAGGCCTAATTAAAAGCCACTTTCCTGCACATTCAGTTTTAGACTACATTGTTTGCTAACAATAGGACTCAAACTGATTTACATACTAAGGAAAAACTCTGCTAGGGAAATTAATCTTAGGTGTCATATCAATTAAATGCTCTTATTACTTAATTGTAATGTTTTAATGTAGTGAATAGGTTAATTTGAATAAATTCACAATTGTTTGAAAATTTTGTTTGTTTATTTTTTTCCTTCCTCCCTCGTAGGTTTTGAACTTAGATGTGACGTTAAACGTAGAATTAACTTTAAACAGCCTTAGATCAATTTGTAATTATTTTTCAAGATCGCCGATTGAGAAATTAAAAGAATTAAATTACAATTGATACTTTTCTCTAGCTAAAGAAATTCACACCTTTTAGATTTTGAATCCATGTAGAAGCCCTAATTGCTACTCTTGTGAAAACAAAGTGCTTCATATGCCATGATTATCTCGTGAATTTCACTATCAAGAGAGATCAATAGGGATTAATTACGCTCTGCTGCACTTGACACCTGTGTTATGGAATGATTTTCAACTGCCTAAATACATCTCTCTGGTCAACCGCTTAATTTCATTTGTGTGTCTGTGTATATTACATAGAAATTCTTTTATAAAGCTTTATAAACAATAAGATTAATCAGACTTTAAAAACATCAGCAAGTAAATTAATTACCGATTAATTAATTGGGGGAGGGGGTGTTATACTGCTGACCATTTTTTTTTAACTCATGAAAGTGAACATATTTTTAATTTCTTTGCTTTATTTTATTTACCATTAAACTGTATTTTTGTGTATTTTTTCTTTATAAAAAAGGGATAATAGTCAGGCACTGTATGTATTTCTTCAAATGAAAATGAAAAGAATTTTATATTTTAATGTAACAAAAGCACACTGATGAATGCAAGATTTTTAATTATTATGTAGGAATAGAAACATGCACAAAACCTAAACATTTGGAATTCTTTAATATTCTTTTTAAATAAGCTTGAATTATTATATATACACATAAAAAGCCTTTGTGAAATTGACCTGTTTAATTATGATTAATCAATTTAACTGTAGTGCTTAATGTTGTTTATTTATTGACCGAATGTCCTGTTTGAGGACAAACTGGAATAAGAGGCCACCTGTCTTAAGTGGCCAGTTTCCGGACTTCCCAAAGGTGGCCTCTTAAAACAAGTTTGACTGTATATGTTTTAAAAGGTATCAATATACTGAAGAGAAAATCAATGTATTTATAAATTTTAAACTTCCAGGATTTGCAACTTAAAACTGGAATGTTTAACAAAAATGTGCATGTGAAATGCTATATTAAACCATCCCATCCCACATATGATTGATTTCTTGATAAATCAACACCTTAAAAATTGACCAAGATTAGGCATTGACTTAATAAACCAATCAAACATAAAGAAAAGTAATACTTACCTAAAAAAACGTACTGCATCCAAAACAAGCCATATTCAACAACTTGAACATTAGTAGGCACTTGCTACTAAGACTGCCAGAATATAAAATGGAACCTGAAAGTAAGGCTGTGTATTGAGCAAAAAAATCAATACGATAAGATACAATATTTTATAATATCCGATATATTGGATTAACAAGTCTATCAAAAAAAGTTTTATACAATGTAATTCATTTAAAGCATGAATTTTATAAAAACTTATTGCTTTAAAACCAATTTCGAAGTTCTTGTCTCACTGTCAAAACAATTTACATTTAAAATTCAAATTTCCTACTTTTTCACAAAATTACAAGAAAATCTGCTTGTCCGAGACGTATTGGAAGTTACTTTTTCAATACAATAAATTCTTTAGTATTAATATGTATTGAATATTTGATATGTTGATAAAGCGTTACCTGAAAGAAGAAGATTTCCAGCTGGCATTTTGCCAATATAAGGTTGACTGGCCCAATTATTGACAAAGTTACATGCAGAGGACTTTTGCACTATGTGAATGCAAGTTCCAACTCTCTTATCGATAATGCCACGAGCTGGAAGATGACATTTTGGACAAAACTGAAAGAGTTGTAGTAGCTGCCACTTGAATACTAAAAATTTTTCCTCCAAATGACAAGGTTCTGGCTCCTCCATTGGCAGTTCTTCAGAACTACAAAATTAAAGCATACCGTTGCAATTATCTGATGTTGCATCAAACAGCTCTAACAACATTTGAACCCAGTAATCATAGAATTTTTAGGAAATCAGAAAATGATATGATATTTACATTACATTCTCAACATTCTCTGAATTAAAATTAAAGCGAAAGCATTCAAAAGTGTGTGTGAAATGATATGTCCTCAATGATAAAAAGTTAAATGAAAGCAGATATGACCATTGATTACATCATTGAAATTGTCTCCTTATTGACAATGACCTCTGACCTTTTGCATTGTCAAAGATGATTATCTGTCTTGTTTAGCATAAAAGAAACATAAAAAGTTCCAGACAGAAAGACAGAGACAGACCTTCAAATCTTGTAACCTAAAAATAACTAACTATAGAATCTCTTAAATTAGGCTAGTAGCACAAATCCTTGGTATAATGTGTAGTAGTGGCCAGTGGGTATCATAGTTGTAGATTAAACTCAGCTTAACATGTGAACTTACTTTTCGTCATTTTGTGTAATGTCATGAGTGGAGCTTTCGGCATCAGAATTCTGGTCTGTGATGTTGTCAAACATACTATCATCCATAAAATCCTCCATTTGTTCTGTCTCCCCACACTGCCCAAGTGAAAATTTTTTCAAACAAATCACTTACAAATTGCCTACAAATTGCTTTAAAATCACTTAAAAGTGATTTGTTTCAGTGATTTGTAAGCAATTCATTTAACAAATCATGCTTAAATCACTTTCTACCAAAATGATGACTTTGATTTGCTTACAATGTGTTATGAAGGGGTGATTTGCTTGTGATTTCTTTCCCATTTCAGACAATTTCTGAGTGATTTGTTAAACTTAGGAAATTGTTACAGTGATTTCTTCATGATTTGTTGAACTTAGCCGTTCTTCAAGGTGATTTGAAAATGATTTCTGGAACTTAGTCTTTCTTCAAAGTGATTTGAAGATGATTTGTTAACTTAGTCTTTCTTCTGGATGATTTGTAAATGATTTGTTGATCTCATGGTCCTTCTTCAGAGTGATTTGAGAGTGATTTACTTCACAACTTCCGCCTGGCTTGCTGATTGGTCAGTATTAGAAACTCTACCGCCAATTTTCATTTATCAGATTTGAATTGAAATGAAAGGAGCTAGATTGTGCTGTTCTAGATTCATACCTCTTTTCTTTTGTTGGAACTGGTGTTTTTTCCTTAACCATGCAAAATATAGTTTTAAGGTATGTATAACTGTATTATGCTATCATTTCCTCCTTTAAGATTCAGTTAATATTCTATATGTTTACATGGAATTTATTGTTCTTCAGAAGAACAACAACAAAGTCGGTGGCAATTAATGTTTAAAACAAAATCTGTGTAAAGCTATAAGCTTCAGCAAAGTACTGGCTTTTTCAAAGTATCTACACAAATATTTATTTCAGATTAGAAAAAATTAACCATTTACCAACTTCTAAAAGTCAACAGTTGTATGCTTATAGCATATATTCTGAATTTGGAGCCACGTAGTCATGTGTGTGTATCTAAAATACATCAGATGCCATCTTAATTAGAACACATCCTAGTAAAAGTTTTTATTTTAAAATACTCTTGCCAAAAGTATTTTTGTTAATATACAACAAATATGCATGCATGTGTGTTTCAAATATTTGAGGGATGGTGACATGGGCATCGTGCACACACGTGTGTATGCACCTGGAGTGATTTGAAAGTGATTTGTTAAACTGAAGTGATTTGTTTGCAATTTATTTGAAATGATTTGTTTGCAATTTATTTGGAGTGATTTGGTTGCGATTTGTTCAACAGAAGTGATTTCTACACAATTTATTCAAAGTGATTTCGTTGTGATTTCAGGGTGATTTGCTTACAATTTGTTAGGAGTGATTTGTTAGCTCATTTGCATGGGAATTTGCATCACTTACAAATCATCTTCAAATCACTGATTCATAAGTGATTTCTTAAAGTGATTTGTTTGAGGATTTTTTTCACTTGGGTGACCACCAACATCACAAGTCTCACACTTCTCAGACATGTCTACCTGAATACCTAAAAAAGAGTGTAATGTTTTAAACTTTCAATAACATTAAAAATTGGATTCAATCGACTCATTATAAGAATATAAAAAATTCCTTTACTAGTATGTAATTCTGCATGGCCATAAACTACATACATGTGCAGGCATTTTATTACCCATTCAAAGAAACAAGAGACCACCATGATCCTGCAATGTTTCAGATTTTCAAAAGAATTATTTCCACACCCCAATTTATTCTTCTATAAAATTTGTTTCTCATGATATAGGACTCTTCAATCTTAATATGACGAACAAGGGACCACCTCCCCCCTCCCCCTAAATTAAGACGGACAATAAACCGACATCCTTGGCTCTCTGATGATCAGAAAAAATTGTTTCAATTTACAACATCCACAAAACACTACTTTACCTATACTTCTGTAGCTCTCTCTTTTCAATTCCAACTGTGTTCCCCTCGACTAGCTGTTTCTTAGGTGGGTCACCAACGGGAAGGTCTATTATATAGTTTCATCTGTACAAGCAGCCGCCTATAAAGTTTTGTTTTAAGTCAATTAAAAAAATCAAAAATGTCAGCATGAAACTAGCAAAAATGGTTTTAGAAATGAAGCTTATTATTTGGTAAATACTTTAAAGTGAATTTTACAGAGAAAAATACTTTATTAAGGAAGTTGAATCTGCAATTTTTCTATGATATATGTCAATAACTCACTGTTTCCTGTGCTTTATTTGGCTCAAGTGAACATACAACTTGATGTGGCATGTTATTGGAAACCTGTAAATAGTGCAATTCTTTAGTAACAGAATGAAGTTAAAGGCTTAGAGATAAAAACAACTCATAAATTTATATTTTAAGTATACGCCACATTAGATTCAATCTTCATTGTAAAAAAATTGTTAAATTTGCTCTCAATCCTTATATCTGACTGCCTTATTGTCAAATGTATTGGTGTGGAATGGTGTCATGTTTTTGTGCTGGTTATCTTACATTGTTTTTTTTAACTTTTTATTGCGGTTGTATTTGTGGTTATTTGTATACTCCTCTGACCTGTGAAACTGTTGTTATTTAGTTTCTTTGGTACATTTCTCTCCTGTCTTGGAAGAAGTACTCACTTATTTTTGGTGCTACCAGGTCTACGTAGCATACTGTTATCTACACAGTGTCAACTGATTACACTGAACAGTGACCAAGTGAACAACATTTATAGGGGCCCTCAGATATGGCTGAATATGGCAGATAAATTCCTTTTACAAATTGTGTCCAGCTTTAATATTGAAAATGTCCAAATTTGACAGTTTATCAATTACAATTGGTATACGATTTACCTGAAGACATGAAATTATACTTACAAAGTCACCTGTGACAGTTGCATCAGCATTTGACAAATCATCTGATTCTTTGACTTCATCTTTTTCAGAAGGAATCTAAAACAAACAATTCAAACAAAAATACACTTTCACTGCTCTATGTAAGTTCTAATAAATGTAGTAATCCAGTATTCTAGTCCATTAACATCCAGAACTTGTCATTTTGGCAATGATGCACTCCAATATTAAAATTTTAATAACACTGAATATATGAAAACAAAAAGTTTGTGAGCATTATTAGCGATTGCTCACTAAAAATGCCCCGCTCTAGTGTATATATAATCATACCAAAACATCCGTAATATTATATTGAATATATGTCTTTATTTTCTTTCTTCTTTAAATCCATAAAGTGAAAACACAAAACATCACCCATCCACACATGAATGTGATAAGATTTATAGAATAATCTGTGTCTCTAGATAGGCTCTATCAATTGTTGATTGATCAGATTCATGGAAGAAAATTATTTCTAATTTTAAATCTCAATCTTATTTATCTTTTATTTTATTTATTTTTCCTATTGCACATTCAATCAGTCATATTGCACTTACTTGGGAAGCACCTGCTTGTGACAACCTTTCACAGACTTCTAGGCCTAGAGCTTCAGTGTGTCCTGGTAAAGTGCCATCAAACAACTGTTTTAAAAAAAAAAATCCATCATTACTTATCTTGGAGTTTTCTACGTAAATATATTATAAAGCCCCCATTACGCTTTTGTATGTACATGTATTTTTCATTAATTGAAGT